CTTTCTCTGCAAAGTAGTAAGGCTTGACCAAGAGTGCAGAGCAATGTGTGTTTGTTATGGAGGTGAGGTGATTCCCGCCAGCTTATGTGACCCCTAAAATTGTTTCCTAGAGTTTTTGCAGTCACATTTGGGGTTTAAGTCTTGGTTCTACAAACATTTTTGACAAGTGACATCACCTCCCCCAGGCCTCGGTTTCTTTCTCTGTGAAAAGGGAATAATGGTACCTGCTTAGGGGCTTGCAGTGACTCAGTGGGTTGGTGACTGATGTAGAGTTGTGTGCAGCACCATATGGTGTGTTAGACCCAGGGGACCCCTAGTTCCAGAAGCCTTCCCGATTTCCTGGCATTCCTTGCTCTTCTGGCACCAGTAACCAGTAGAGAGCATCACTGTGGACTGCCTGTGAAACAGCTGGTGATGCTTGGTACCCACTGAGTGTAACTGATGCTGGTGCCCTGCAGCCGTCATTCCCGGTCCCAAAAGGAACGCCTTCCCAGGCTTCCTGCCTGGTAGAAAACTTGACTGGGAGGTTAGAACTGGGTGCCCCTCCCACATCTTCATAGCTTCCCTGGAGCGTCACCTTGTGATGTTGTCTAGGAAGGGCTCATTAGATAGGGAAACTGAGGCTTGGAGGAAGGTTCAGTGACTCATCTTAGATGCCCAGCTGTGAGGTAGTGCATTGGCCCTCATGTCATCCCCACTTGCCCAGAGTTTCTGAAGTGAGGTGCAAGGCTGGAGGAATCCCTGGAAGGTACCAGAGGAGTCAGGCTCATGGTGCCCTGACCTTCTTGCTTTTGCCTTTCTCTGCTCCAGGCTGGAGGCAGATGAGTGGCTTCCTCTGGCTCTTTAGCATGTCCACATTACCTTTGTTATGACAAGTGCTGTTTTTCTCTCCATAGTTATGATATAAACATTCCCCTTGAAACTTCTAGTTGTGGTGGCACATGCCAATCCCAGTACACGGGAGCCTGAGGCAAGAGGATCATGAATTTAAAGCCAGCCTACAGCTATATAGTGAGACTGTACATCAAAACAATAAAAATGCTCTTGAATTGGGTCAGGTGAAGTGGCAAGTAACTCCAGTTTCAGCACTGGGAAGGCAGAGGCAGAAGCACCAGAGTTTCAGTGCAGCCAGGCTACACTGTGAAACTCTGTCTCAGGGCGAAAAAAGAGCTGCAGAAAAACTACATTGTTGGGGCTTGTGAGATGGCTCCGCTGGTAAAGGTACTTGCTGCGAGCTGGTGACCTGATTAGAGCCCCAGAACACACATGGTGGAAGGAGAGACCAGACTCGTGAAGTTATCCCTGCCCAAGGCAGGGAGATGAAAGCCGGTTTAGTCTTGCACCAGTTCCCAAGGGCATCTCATTACTGTACTCGAATATTGTAGAATCCAAAACACTCCGGTCCAGGCATTCTAGATATGAGACACTCAGCCTGTCTAAATAAGTGATGTCCAGGTGATGTGTCACAAGCCTTAGGAGCTTTGGGCAGACAAACGCAGGGGAGTCGGGGACAACTTCAGACACACTGTAGACGGCCCATAGTGATGAGCACTCACAGCCAACTCGGTGTTGGAATTCAGGCCCAAGAAGCTGGTTCTCATCAGGGACTGACCTGTGTGGAGACAGGAAGCTCCTTTCCTCTTCTGTCCTTGCAGCTGCTAGGGAGGTGGCCAGATTGCCACCACACCCTTGGCCATGAGCCAGATGGCCTCCTGCTGCACAGTCTACCTCCAGTGCAGAGATCCCAGATGTCTGCCAAGCGTTTGGGCATGTAGAGAAAGAGGGACGCACAGTGGGTTTCTAGAAGGCTGTCTGTAAGAGAAGTGCTAAGTCCATAGCCTCAAGAAGGCTGATTTCTGTTCTTTCCGTCTACTACCTCAACTATTATTACTTACAGTTCTTTGTGTGTGCAGGGGTGGGCATGTGCATGCCATGGTGCACAGGTGGTCAGAGGAAAACTTGTAGAAGTTGTTTTTTTCCTTCCACCATGTGGATCCTGGGGGGGGTCACACCCAAGAGATCAGGCTTGGTAGCAAGTTCCTTTATCAGCTGAGCCACCTTGCTGGCCCCTGAATTATTCTTTATATAGTTGTTTTCTTTAAATCTACTTTTTTTTTTTTTTTTTTTTTGGTTTTTCGAGACAGGGTTTCTCTGTGTAGTTTTGTGCCTTTCCTGGAACTCACTTTGTAGACCAGGCTGTCCTCGAACTCACAGAGATCCACCTGACTCTGCCTCCCGAGTGCTGGGATTAAAGGCGTGTGCCACCACCACCCGGCTTAAATCTACTTTTTAAAAGATTTGTTTATTATGTGTATGTTCCTATTTGAGAGCATGGCATGTAGGAGACCGTGGAGGTCAGAAGAGGGCCCTGGATTCTCTGGAACTGAAGTTAGGTAGTTGTGATGCACCATGTGAGTTCTGGGGACAGAATTTGGGTGCCCTTCAAGAGCAGCAAGTGCTCTTAACCACTGAACCATCTCTCCAGTCCTTAAATTGGCTTTTAAGAGTTAAAAAATTTTTTGGGAGGAGAGGAGCTTGTGTGAACAGGCACCTACCATCATCAGCTGTAACTAAGAGACTCAGCAGATGTACTGACGTCAACAGTATCCACTAAAACCTATGGCAAGGTGTGGGTACAGGGACAGAGCACCTGTGACAGCAGGCTCAGTCATACTAGCATGCTGAGACTGTGTAGTCACAAGGACTGGCAGGAAGTGAGGCCTCCTGGTGGCTCCTCCCACCTGGCTGGGGCACCCAGCATTTGGCCTCCAGGAGGGTGAATCTCAGTAGATTACTATGCCTCAGGCTTCTGACCTTGAAGGCTTTCCACAGCACCATGTCTCCCGCAGGGTCCTTGGAGGGAAGAGCTGGAAGAGCAGCTACAGTGGGCTCTTGTGTGACAGGACAAGAGTCTCAGAAAGTCTTTCTAGAAGGTCCAGCGTAGCTGTAGCCCCTGCTTCCCACGGGTTCTGTGGGCAGGTGGGAAGGGGCCAGAGGGGAGGAGGGCCTGTCTGTGGAGGGGCAGTGGGAACTAGGGAAGGTTTCTGAGCCATGGTAGAATGTGTCCCCAGCTGGCCTTTAGTAAATGAGTCTGACAGAGGATGGGAGAAACTTCAGCATATGACTCCTACCCGCACCCTGTTCAGAACTGAGGAGGCTGCTAAGCCCAGTCTCCCCGTGGGTGTCCTTCCTGCGAGCACAGCCCTGTGTGACCTCCATCCCTGCCCACAGCCTTGTCCCATCATTGGTAGGACCACTTCAAGCTGAAGCTGCTCACAACTCAGCACAGTGCCTGGCACCCATCGTCTAGTTTGGGGCCCAGCATGGAGCACACTGGTGTGCAAAATCTGAACAGGAGCTGGTGATACACTTGTTTTGTTTATGGAAACAGGCTCATACTAGATGGCCCAGCCTGGCCTCAAACTCACTCAGTCCTTACTCTGTAGCCAGGCTGGCCTCTAACCTACATTCTCTGGCCTTAGCTCCCTAGTGCTGGAATAACAGGACCAGGGCACCACACCTGGGCAGATTTCGGTGCTTCAGAGCTGAGCATCTTTCAACAGTATCTTACGCTTTTGGGCCTTGATGTCTTCATCTGCCCAAAAGACATAACAACACCAACTCATGGGCTGGTAAGGAGGGTAGAGGTGGCCATGGGCCTAAGTGCTTATTTGGGAGGAGATCTCAGGAACTCGTGTGGAGATTGGGAAGTGAGACCAGCAAGGGGGAGCAGGTGGGCACTGAGCAGGCTGCCACTGTAGTCTGGGGCTCAGTCCTGCTCAGAAGCCCCGGGAGCCAGAGTGGGCATAAGACGTGCCTCATGTCACCCCAGGTACTGGTGAGGGGTTGGGATGTTGGTACACTACCTTCCTGGCAGTCCCTGGTGGGAAGCAACTTGCTATGGAAGGCATTAGTGATCCAATTCTTGCAGCTGATCACAGCTAGGCATTCTCTGGAAGCAGACCAAGGCACCCAGGGCTGGGGAAGGTAGGTGGAAGGAAGTCACATGACAAGAGCGCCAGGTGTGGTGGCAACCAGATTGTGATTGTCCCCATTTGTTACCAGTCTGACAGCTCTGCCTGTCCTACTTGTGCAGCTGCAGGCCACTCACCCTGCTTCTCTGAGCCTCTGTTTTGCAGTCTATAAAGTGGGGAGAGGCACGGTTCCTGGTGGAATGGCTATGCCTGCTTAGTGGCTCTTGGAAACAGGTGGGCAACAATTTTAGCAGCCATGGTGACTGGAGATGCTATCTGGTTGGTGGCAGCTAAATATGTGATGTCCGTGGTAGCCCCGCACAGCCCTGGGTGTTATTCAGCAGTACACACTGCATGTTTCGCATGCAGTGATCATTCCATCTGATGATCAGTGGTGTTTGTAGAGGGAAGAATCTGAGGACCAAAAGGACAGGGACCTGGGTACCTCACTGTTGTAGAGATGCTGGTGACAGCTAGACATGGGATTGAGGGGATTGGAGGAGAGAGCCTGCCGCAGGGCCAGGACTTACAAGAGGAGCCAAGTGGGGACAGAGTTGACAAGCTGCATCAAGTGAGCCTTCCTGTAAGCACAGTGCTTTTCGGGTGAGTTGGGAGGCACTGCCCACTCCCTGGAGCTTGCTCAGCTGCCCCTGCTTGACCTCCCTTCTGGCTGAGCTCCTCCTCCAGCCCCAGCATCTCTCTCCCTCTCCTGATCACCTGGACAGCCCTCCTCTCCCATGGAAAACTACCCTGGTTCCCCAGGGTCTCAGAAGGGAAGCAAATTCATTAATAAGAACTTGGAATAAAAGCTACAGGGAGCTAGGAATGTAGCTCAGTTGGTAGAACGCTTGCTCAGCAAAGAGAGAGGGAAAAAGCATCGGCAGCCTGAGCATGGGTCTTTCGGAGAGTCCGAGACCTTAGGATCAGAACAAGGCTTTCTCGCCCCACCCGAGCCTCGGGGAGGCACCCCCGGGGCCATTGGTGCAGTGGCCCCTGTTGATGACTGTCCTTTGTCTTTTTGGTTAGGCCTGCTCGTGCCAACACCCGGGTTCCCGCCCCAACCCAGGAGTATGCCAGGAGAGGTGGGGACCCAGTGCCAAGATGGGAGAGTTGCCAGGCCCTACAGGAAGGAGGAGGGCTCCAAAGACCTCACCTACCACCCCGTTCTCAGACGTCCTGGATCTGGCTTGTGGCTCTCCACCTTTGTGATGGATGTTCACAGGAACCTAGCCAGAGGTCACCTCTCTGCACTTCACCCCCCAACTGCACCTGCCTCCCTCCCTTAACCTCTGGGAAGGACACGGAGAACGGAAGTGGGATGCAAACAGACTCATACTTAGGCCACTCCCTCCAGCGTCGTTTGGTGCGGTTGAGCCTTAAGCCTGGGTGGGCTTCAGACCCAAGACTGTTGATCATAGTTTCAGGGAGTCACTCTGAAGAAGGCTGTGCCAGGGCCCAGGCGGGGTTTAGCCTCTCCAGGTTGACAGAACTGAGATGCCGCAATGGGGAAGAAATCTATTTTTGGAAGTGTGAGTGGTGTAGGAAGTGTGAGTGGTGCAGATACTTGATTTCCATAAACCTGTAAAAGCAATACTTAGAGGCTGACTTATTTCATTAAAAAATGTAAGCAATGCCAACCCCTCTTGCCCTTGTCTGGTTGCTGGTTTTTGTTTGTTTGTTTTGAATTTTGGAAATGGGGCATTATGGCTGACAGTTGACAAAAAAGTCAGATGGCCCATTTTAGAGATGCAGCAGGGACTAGGGAACTCACTCTAGAGAGGCCACCTCCTCCCGCCTTCTGAAAGCCTGAGTTACAGTAGGGAACGCTTGGGGGCCTGGGGAACTTGGGCCTGAGCCCCACACACAGCATTTGATACACCTCCATGAATGATGAGAGAGGGGCACACATTTAATCCCAGCACTCAGGGAGCAGAGGAGGCAGATATCTATGAGTTCAAGTCTAACCAGGTCTAAAAAGTAGGTTCCAAGCTCGCCAGGTCTACACGGTGAGACCCTGCCCTAAAAAGCAAAGAATGGGGAAGAGGCTGGGAATGTAATTCACTTGGTAGAATCCTTACCTGGCTTGCATAAAGCCCTGGCCCCAGCAGCACATAAATCATGCACAGTGGTATGTGCCTATAATCCCAGCATTCCAGAGACAGACAAATGTATCAGAAGCTCAAAAATGGAAGTACAAAGATCAGAAGTTCAAGGTCATCCTGGGCTTCATGGGACCCTGTCTCCAAACCCCACAAAAAAATGGAGCCTTCTTCCCTGGTCTTCCCTAGAGTATAGCTCTAGCCCCTTCCTGAAGCCATGAGCACTTAGGGCAGCTTGGCATACAACAGATGGGAGCCATCAGACACTCATGGGAAGAACCTGTGACACTCCCCACCTCTCCATGATGGGATAATCCTTTTGCAACAGGGTGCAGCTGAATTCTCCAAGATGGCAGTTTTTGGCTCTGATATATACTACAGGAAGAGAAACATACTCCCCGGGAGAGAGGCCTGGAGGGAAGTTGATGGCTGAATAGGGGCTTGGATTGTGCAGCCTGCCAATTCCCCCAGAACTGCTTCTCGAATCACAAGGGGGGCCAGCAACCTATTCTAGCCTACTGTGAGCCATACCCCATACCCACAGAGATCCTTCAAAGGGGTCACGGGCCAAGCTGATACGTTGACTCCTTCCCTATAATGCCAAGTTTCTAACATGGAAACCACAACTTACCCACCTCTTGAGATGACACCATGCTAATTACCAAGAGATTCTCTTCTAAAATGATGCAGTTCCACTCCAGGCTCCACTAGTGTGCAACCCTCATGTATCCACTGTCCAGGAGCCTTTGTGCACTGCGCAACCTGGCCAGACACACCTGGCCACTCTGTCTTAAATTTGCTAAGATGCAAGACTTTCAGCGCAGGAGCCTTGAGTGTCTTGTTCACCCATGTGTCTTCAGTGCACAGTTAGTTGCACAATGCCTAAGTGAGCTGGTGCTGAGGATTAGCCATCCATACCACACTTACTGAGCAACTACTATGTACAGGCACCTGAATGGGTGGAGAGGGCAGAAGGGTGATCAAGCAGACAAACCCCCTGCTCCCCAGAGCTCACATTTAGACAGGCAGACAGCAGAAGAGAACATTGAGATGGAGTTGGAGAGTAGGGTACAGAGGTATGAGAGACAGATAATCGGCCTGAGGAACCGTAGAGTCCTGTAGGAAGTCACATACAGGCTGGGGAAGAACATTCCAGGCAGAGGCAGGAATGCAACACAGGGTGGATGAAAGGAGAGCTCCTACACTAAGCTGTGTGCTGGGGGGGTTGTTAAGACGGCCTCACAGTGTAGACCATGCTGGCCTTGAACTCACAGAGATCCTCCTGTCTCTGCTTTCCAAGTGCTGGGATTAAAGGTGTGTGCCACCACACATGACCTTGTTTTATATGTATGAGTGTTTTGCCTGTGTATATGTATGTGTACAGAAACTTCAGAAGACAACTTGTAGGGGATGGTTCTCTTTTCCACATGTGGGTCCTGGGGAGCAAGCTCCAATCACTGGGTTTGCTTTACCCCTGAGCCATTTTGCTGACCTGTTTTATTAATATTTTTGTTTCCACATTGAGCCTTTACATAATCCAGTGAAGATGATCCCCACGGCTCTGCCCGTTTTACAGATGGGGAATCTAAGGCACAGAAGATTCCTGACACACTTGCTTCTGCATATATGGTGAGATGGAGCATGAGACCAGACAGCTCAACTGAGAGTTGGTGTCATACAGTCCTAAGCTACCTCTGTTCAAGAGCCAGAGGGCTTAAGATGCTGCCCAGCACACAGGATCTAGAACCAGTGAGGTTTGTTGAGCATTTACTGTGTCCCTGGCACTATAGTGAGTGCCTTACATAAATCAACCCATTAATAAGTGACAGCCCTCAACAGAGTAAGGAGAGGTAAGTGCAGCAGATATCTGCCTTGGAGAGTGCCTCAGTACCCTCCCCTGTGGCCACACAAGTGGGACTTCCATGTGCCACCCCTGAGCTTGATGCCTTGCACAGGTGCCCTCTGCAGCTGGACCTGTCTCTGAGAATCACCCCCAAGCAGCCACCTCCCTGGGCCCTCTAGCCCAATTCCCACTTACTGGGATGCGGGCCAGTCCTATTGGCATCAGGGCTGGCATGCTGGAGCCACACAGATGGCTCCCTCTGCCAAGGCAAGAAAGCACGCTGTCACTGTCCCGATGGAGGGATCAGTGGCTCCTGACCTCAAAGCAAGAGCGCCTAGGGAAAACAAGAAGGGCAGCACTGGTGCTACCTGCTCCTTTTGGCTGGCTGCAGCTGCGGCCGACCAGCTTGGTTCTGGGAACTGCTCCCAGGATGCAGTGGGGCAGTAGAAGAGAACACTCCTTTGTACCAGTGGTCACTGTTGTAGCCCTCAGGCCTGGGAATAATAACTTTCACTGAATCTTAGAATCTACCAAGATCCTTGCAGAAGGTACAGGATCTGGGCAAAGCCGGACTGTATGGTGTGCACATGCGCTCCGTGCATGTTCTGTACTGTGGAATGTGGTAGAAACAATGCTATGCAGCCTGTTATGAGGTGGTCTCTGCTGGCCCGTGTCTCCTCACTTTCTCCTTTCTGTTCTCCCTCACTGGGGAGTCACCCTATAATACAGACGCAGTGCTATGAGGAAGGCAAGCCAGCTCCCCTTGGAGAAGTCCCCAGCCAGCTGTCCATTATGGACTCAGGGATCCCAGCCAGCAACCCATGTCATGCACCAGACATACAGGCGCAAGCCTTCAGATGATTCCAGCCCGGCTTCTAGCTGCCCCAGTTGACTCAGAGGGTTGGTGGGGCCAGGTGGGCTGTCTCTTCTGAGCCTGCCTAAAGGACAGGGGTTGGAGCAGAATGGAAGTGTGGACTGTTTAAAGTTCTTGTGGTTTGGATGGTTTCTTTTGCATTGGATACCAGGACAGAAGGGATCCCCCAGATGGAACTTGCGGGATGAACCAAGCCCCAGAGCTGCAGTGAGAGTGCGTCTGAAATGTAGTGAGTATGTGAAGAAGGCAGAGCAGCTCCCGGCTGCAGCCCTCCTGTCCTGCAGTCTACCATCCCTGGCTCTTGGTTCACATCCAGGGTCTTAGCCTGCTCAGGCCTTGACTGAAAGTTTGTGGAAACAGTGCCACAAGTAAAAAGAGCTGCCATAGACTCCCTGCCGCGTTTAGAGGTCTGCAGGCCAGGGCCACACTTAGTGTCTGCAGAGCAGGCCCTGTCGGGAGCAGCAGGAAGAAGTGCCTTCTCACCAGGCTGGCCCTGGCCTGGCTAGGCAGGTGCTTGGCTGCTTCGGTTCTGTACTCTGGCCTGGACCGTCAAAGAGAAGGCCTTCGGCCTCCTGGGTGGATCCACTGAATGCAGCCCCAGCCTGCCTGCCACTGCTCACAGCCACTGAATGGGGCTGGCTTCCCGCCTGGCACTCAAGAGCCTGTAGCTGCTCTTGCAGCCTGGAGAAGAGCGAGACGTGTCTGTTCCTCATCTAGGCAGAGGTCCAACTCCGAGCCTGCAGGGGCAGGGTTACCGGAGGCTGACTCTCATGGGATACGGCCCACAGAAGAGCAGAGTCCACAGTACCCAGTTCAAGGTCCAGCGTGGTCAGTGTCCCAGAGTACATGCTGTGGGAGATCAGGAGAGACAGGTGAGCCAATGAGCTTCCATGGGGCAGCCTTGACAGCAGAGGAGGGGATGTCAGAATGTGGGGGGCTGAAGGAGGGACTGGAGGGCAACTGCAACACAAGTCAGGGGCGGGTGAGGGACAGTTGTCTTCATGCTGTGGGCAGGAAATGTATTAATTTCCTATGAAGATGAACCCAAGAGAAACAGCAACAAGAAAGACTTAAAGTTTCAAAGGAAGGACTTCCCAATGCCGCGATGGGGATAATAGGTGACTGGCTCAGCCTGTCTTTCCTAAGTCCTTAAGCCTGATCTCAGGGAGGTTCCTTGGCCCAAGTCCCCAAAGTCTGGAGGACACCTGCCAGTTTGGAAACAGGATAGCTCCAGATGACACGTGGTCCCAGCCTTGCTTGATGCCCTTGGTCCCCCCTTACGAGGACACTGACCCAGATGTCCCTGAGGTTCTCCTTTCTGGAGTCCAACACAGTTACCTTGTCCAGGGCACAGCAGGGTCATCTCAGGCTGATCCGGGCATCCAGCTGCTGCAAGTGTTCCTGAACCCCAAAGGGGATAGTGGGTGTCCACATTCTGCAGAGGGGACAAGGGACCCCAGCGCCAGGTTAGAGGGAAGGCAGCCGGGACTCCCCAGGGCAAGCTACTCACAGCTCCACCTCCCACTCTGCATAGAACCTTAACCACACCCCACCTGGCAGCATACAGATCAGCATGGGTGACCAGGATGCTAGGAGGCCCTTTTTCAATTCTGGTCTACTCTGCCATAGTCTCTTTAGCTGTAAAGTGGATCCTATTGTGGTTTCAGTGTGGTCTGTCCTCCACAGGCTCCCGTTTTGAATGCTTTTCCCCCAGAAGGCTGTGGAATCTTTAGGAGGTGGGACCTCAATGGCAGAAGTAGGTCACTGTGGGTGGAACTGGGAAGGCAATAGCCAGGCCAGTTCCAGAGCTAGCTGCTCCTGATAGTGTGTGAGCAGCTGCAGGCACAAACTCTTGCAACCAGTGCCTTCCCACCACGATGGATGACACCCTGTGAGACTGTGAGCCCAGGGCACCTTTCCTCCTTCTCATTGCTCCTGCCAGGTGTCATGGTCACAATGAGAAAAGAATCTAGAGATGCCGATATCTATCCGAGAAGACGGGCACAACTTTGCAGATCAAAGCCATCTGAACAGCAAAAGGTACTGGACATCAAACATCACATTGGCTTTGAGAATAAGTTTAAAGCTGGGCACAACACATACATCTATAGTACCAGCACTCAGGAGGCTGAGGCAGGGGGATCGTGAGTTGAAGTGCAATTCTGCTTCAAAAACAAATAAAAATGGCTCTAACTATATGAAATTGCTATTTTTATGTTCTAAGAATGACTGGATTAGGCGATTTCATATGGTTTACCCTGATGAAATATTTATTGAGTGTTTTATGTGGCAACAGTGTCCTAAAAGTTTAGGACTGGGGCCATGGCTCAGGTGTTGGGCCACTTGCCTAGCATACACCAAGTCCTGGCTTTGATTCCCGTTGCCATGTGAGATTGCATGTGGAAGTAGATGCTTATAGTTTCAGCACTTGGGAGATAGAGGCAAGAGGGTCATCCTTAGCTACATAGTGAGTTCCAGGCCAACTTAGGCTACATGAGACCCTGGCTCCCACAAAAACATTTTTCTTTGTCTTGCCTAACATGACCATCTCAAGTCTTCTCTATAAATACTACATCATGGTCCCAGAGATGGAGAAGCTAAGGTCTGCAAATCACTTGCCAGCTCATATACTGCTCAGCAGGGGTGGGATTTGAATTCTAGAGTTACACGCAGATCTCCAACCCCAGGGTCAATGCAACTTACGCCAGTGTTTCCACTTGAGGGCACTTCTGAAGGCTGAAGGCCAGCTGCTGGGCACCGGCAGCCGTGAACTTGTTAAACTGGACACTGAAGAGAGAGGTCCATCCTGAGGCCTGGCTACTCCCATCCCAACCCTTCCCATGATGCAGGTGGGAGACCCCCTGCCTCCCCAAGTCCCCCTGGACCCCCACACTCACTCCATCACCCGCAGGGACACCATGTCCGGAAGCACTTGTGCCAGGCTCTTGGCTCCTGCGTCACAGATGCAGTTATTGTACAAGCTGCCGGCGACAGGGGGAAGGAAGAGGTTTGGGGTGCTGGGCTAGCTCAGGGCCAGGTGGGATCCACACGCAACTGAAATGACTGCTCCACTTTGTCTGTCTGTCTGTCTGTCTGTCTGTCTATCTATCTATCTATCTATCTAACAGGTCTCATGTATCCCCAAGCTGTCCTCTAACTTGTACATAGTCAAAGATGACTCTGAACTTCTGATTCTCCTGCCTCCACCTTCTGAGTACTAGGATTATTATAATGTGCTGTTACACCCAGTTTATGCAGTGCTGGGGATGGAATGAATCCAGGGCCTCATACATGCTAGGCAAGCAGTCTGCCAACTGAGCTACATCCCCAGGCAGGCCCTACTGTCCCATTTTACAGATAGACTAATTGAGGCCCAGAGAGTTGAGGCCACTTTTCTGTAGTTCCATAGTGAGTTCAAGAAACTACAGCATGGACAGGAATTTGTACACTGGGCTTGGTGGCTCAGTCTGTAATTCTAGCTACTTAAGAAACTGAGGCAGAGGGATTACAAGTTCAGGCCAGCCTGAGATACATGAGACCCAGTCTCAAAATAGAAAGGTTGGTTTTGCTTTTTGTTTTTTTATTTTTGTGTATGGGTGGTTTGCCTTCATGTGTGTGCAGTGCCTGAGGAGTCCAGAAGAGGGCAAGGGACCCCTGGGACTGGAGTTCCAGATGGTTGTGAGCCACATGTGGGTGCTGGAAATTGAATCCAGGTCCTCTGTAAGAGCAGCCAGTGCTCTTAACTGCAGCCCCTCAAATCAGAAAGTTAAAAGAAGGCTGGGGTTAGAGCTCAGTATAGAGTGCCTGTTTGGTATACATGCAGTGGCTCTGGGCTCCATCCCTAGTAACACACACACACACACACACACACACACACACACACACACACACACACACACTCATGGAGTCATGGAGGAGGAGAGAGGGGGAGGAAAGGGGAGAGAGGAGGAGAGGGGCAGAGAAGGGGAGAGAAAGAGATGAGAGAGAAGGAGAGGAGGGAGGAGAGGTGTTTCCCAACCCAAAGCATTTGGAAACTCCAGAGAACAACTTCCCAGGTTCAAAGACATGCCTGTTCTGTCTGGGGAATTCACTCGATCCTCTCCCCATGCTGTTCTCATTTGTAAAATGGGTAGGAGGGGGTCACTGTAGGGAGAGCAGCTGGGTTCTTGCTGGTTTGTGCGGTGGACTAAATGTTAGCCAGGATCTCACAGTGTGACACACTCCCAGAAACCACTAGGGCCACATGAGACACCACAGAAGGGGTGACCTGTGTTGGCCATGGGAAAAAGAAAACTTGGAAACTGCTAAGACTATGGAACTTTGAAGTTAGAATGAATTATTTTGTATTATGAGATAGTCATAAACAATCTGTAACTCCAGTCTGAGGGGATCTGATACCCTCTTTTGGCCTCTGCAGGTACTGTGTGGATTTGGCACACAGGTGTACATACAGACATAACACCTGCGCACATAAAATAAAAATAATATTTAAAAAAATTAAAAACGAGAAAAGTGAGCTGAGCAACACTGTTCATTGCTCTCTGCTTCTTGACCAGAGGCGATGTGACCAGCTGCCTCACACCCCCGCCACCGGGCTCCCCACCATGATGGACTGCACCCTCACACACATCCCACCACCATGCTCCCCACCATGATGGACTGCACCCTCACACACATCCCACCATGCTCCCCACCATGATGGACTGCACCCTCACACCCCACCACCATGCTCCCCACCATGATGGACTGCACCCTCACACACACCTCACCACCATGCTCCCCGCCATGATGGACTGCACCCTCACACTGTGAGCCCTCATCACCCCATCTTTCCTTAAGTGGTCTTTGTTAGGCTTCTGGTGATGGTAGTTAGCAAGCCTGCCTGACCCACAAGCACCTGCCTGTGTGTTCTAGACTTTCCTGACCTCCCACCCTCCCATCTCACCTCCCATCCCTCCATCCTGAGGAAGCTTCAGCCACCTCGGGAGCCCTTCTGCCCCTGAAAATCCATCCTCTTTCCTGCTTTGAGGCCATTGTGCCTGCTGCTCTTTCGAGCTCCTCACCTCTAGTTTCCCACACAGGGCCATGTCTCAGCATGTCACAGCACCCCTGCTCTCTGAAATAAACTGGTGACACTCCCATTTTACTGTCCTGGTACATGCCAATTCCCTTCCTAGAATAAATCACGGTCTTAAAAATACCTTTTTTATGTCTGTGTTTTCCGTCTTAGTATGCAACTCGAAAGTAAGGACACCCCATAGTTTAAGTGAGGGAATACTGTACACCTAGCACAACTTTAGGGTGTTAGGTGGGCACCAAGTACATATAGTAGGAAGTGTGCAGTGCACGACCTGTTCATCAGCACAGACGACCTGGTTGGAAGGATGTAGGAGTAGCTGCCCCAGTAGAGATGGTCAGAAGTTGCCTTTCCTAGAACATGGCTTGGGGGAAGGAAATTATTTTCCAGCTGCTTAGCCAAGAGCTGCTAGTGCTGAGCTGAATGACTGGGACTCTGGTTCAAGCTCAGTTCCCATCTCAGCTCCTAGAACCACAGGGAAGATTTGCTGAAAGAGTTGGAGCTGCTACACCGAGGCCCACCGGGAGGTGGCAGTGTAAGCGCTGACTGGAATGGTGATGGACCTCTCAGAAGCCAGCACTGCAGGACTCTCCTGCTGCAGGTAGATGAGTAAGGGACAGAGTGCTCACTAGGGACAGACTGAGGTATGACATATGATCCAAGGACACAATTCTTATTTTCCAGATGAGGAAATAGAAGCTTGGAACAAGTAAGCAACTTGCCCCAGGGCTCTGGTGATGTTCAGCTTTATCTAGGTAGTGCACCACCTGGTGACACAGACCTTGCAGCCAGCAAGAGGGGACCATCTTCCAGCCCTCCCTCTCCCCAGCCCCCTCAGCGGGGCACCCCACTCACCTCAGCCTTAGGAGGGATTTGGCCAGGGCCGGCAGGGCTTCTGCAAGCTTGCAGGCACCCACATCGGTGATGCTGTTTTGGGACAGGCTACAGGGACACAGGGAGGAAACAGTTCAGGAGTGGAAGGATCTCCCTTTCCCACTGGCCTCCATCATGAGGCTAGGAATGTACTGCCTCACAGATGGCCTGTAGCCACAGACCTGTGACAGCCAGCTTCAGGGAGGGTCATGGGTCATGTGGATGAACCCACGAGAACCACTTACAAATATGAAGGTTTTGTTACAGAGAGGGTGGGTGGCAGACTGAGAGGTAGATGGCAGAGAAAGACCGCTCCCCTCCTCCATCTGCTCTCTGATTTGATAGTGATACTTTCCCTTGGACTGTTTTCCAGCACTCTAACTGTACACAGTAGGTGCTCAATAAATGTGTACATGTCCAGGAATAGACAGGTGAGAGGGAGAGAAATCTATCTTGTGGTATACCTAGACCATTGTAAATTATGGAGACACCTACATTGTATATCATTGAAATTGCCACAGGAATTCTTGGGGCATTTCAGCCTTCTTGGTTTATAACATGGAGTGTTGACAGATTTTTTTAAAAAATGTTCTGTTTATTTTGTTGTGGGAATTGAACCCAGGACCTTATGCATGCTAGATAAGTGCTCTACCATTGCTATGTTGCCAGTGCTTTTAAATTTTAAAAAACGTATTATTGTTGTTGTATGTGTGTGGAGGGGTGTGCTGCCATTGTGCATGTGTGGCCGAGGACGACGCTGTGCAGTTGTGAATTAGAACTCCTGGAGAGAAGCTGTGTTTGCAGAGCTGGAATAGACCTGCAGTGATGGGGAGGGGTGGAAAGCCCCGGGAACAGCCACCCCCTGCCCACCTCTGCAACAGAGCAAACCTCCTGTGGCCAATAGATAAAAACCTCTTGGACTCTATTAACTTAGCTGACTACTAGCTTCCACCAACCCAAAAGGAAGATTGCCATCGGACAGCATCTCGGGCCTACAGAAAAGCTTCCCCCATCCTAATGTACCTACTAATGTGTGTCTTGTTTATTTGTTTTGTTTTGTGTTTTGAGACAGGATTTTTCTGTGTAGCCCTGGCTCGCCTGGAACTCGATCTGCAGACTAGGCTGTCCTCAAACTCAGAGATTTGCCTGTCTCTGCCTCCGGAGTGTTAGGATTAAAGGTTTGAGCACGAGCACACGTGTGCATACACACACACACACACACACCACCACCACCACCAACAACAACAACAACAACAACCTACTTTAAACTTGCCTTGATTTATGACTTTCTTTGTTCTGTAAAACTGTAAAGCTTCATGAAGCTGCTTCCATGTTGAAACATGGAATTTGTGGTAATCTAAATCTGAGCTCCTGAGCATTGGTCACTCAAAATGCCTCCCAAATAAACTCTTAACTGCTTTTAGGTCGAGAGCAATGATTTTGCATTGACACACTTTTACGAGTTCTGGAGACCACACTCAGGTCTCCAGGTGTAAAACTTAGAGGTCCTTCTATGTCCTCTTATTGGCCCCTTTGAAGTTTTTATTCTGAGACAAGGTCTCATTATGTAGCCCAGGCTGGCCTGGAACTCAAGAGCCTCCTGCTGCAGTCCCTCCTGGGATCACCAAGGTCCTCAGGTTTCATTACAGTGCAGGTTCAGCGGGAAACCATGTCCACCCCCCCACCTTACCCCATACCCACTCCCCTTTAACTTCCCAAAGCCCAGAACGGTTTAAAAAACTGTCGCCAGATAAGGTTTTACTGCTCATCCCTAATCTGTCTCTTCCCTTCCAGCACCCCAGTGTGGTTTCACTCATTAAACCTTTATTACAGTGTTTCGTTTTAATCAGTATTTCTCTTTCTGTTTTCCAGTGTGTGTGAAGGTCAGAGGAGCTGTTCTCTCCCTCTGCCATGTGGCTCCTGGGGCTGGAACTCAAATTGTCAAGCGTGGCAGCAGCCACCTTCTCTGGCTAAGCCACCTGCCAGCTTTCCCCCACTTTTTTTTAGATTGGTTCTGGTTCTCTAGGCTGGCCTTAACTCATGGTTATCCTACTGTCTCAGGCTCTCCGTTGCTACGATGGATTACTGCATTGTAAGTATGACTTATTTATTTGCTTGCTTCTGGTTTATTGTATGTGAAGATGCCTGAGGTCCGAGAGCAGGATCTTCAGGGTCTCCACTGTTGCCTGTGATAGCAAGGGTTCTTTAAGTCTTTTCATTAATCCAATAAATGAGGTCTGGAGAAACAGCTCAGTAAAGTGCATGTCTCACAAGCATGAAGACATGCGTTTGATCCCCAGAACCCACATGGAAATCTAGGCATGGTGGTGCATGCCTGTAATCCCAGCACAGGTGAGGTGGAGACATGTGGAACTGAGGCTCCCTGGCTGGCTAATCTGGCATAACTGGTGAGTTCCAAGCCGGAGAGAGACGCTGTCTTAAAAGAGGTGGGCGGTGTTGCTGAGGTGGTCCCTGGAGGAAGAAGACTGAATGGATAAATAGTGGCAGGAGAGGAGAGTGCGTGATGACCCAGAACAGAACGAGTGAACGGCGCCGCGGAGGGCAGATGTAGGACAGAATACTGAAGCCGTGGGGAGGCGGGTCCACTGTACTTACTTGAGCGTCTCCAGGGCCTTGAGCTGAGGAAAGGTGGCTGAGAGCTTCGATACACCTTCGTCCCCGATCTTGTTCTCACTAAGTGAGTCCAAGCTGCAGGTGGGGTCAGATGGTGGTCACTGGCCCTCCTTGTCCCCTCCTCTCTAGTGACACCACACCAGCTTAACTCTGAGTGTGTGGGAGCTGGCCTGTACCACCTGGGGGCGCCCTTCAGCAGGCCAGGGGCCATGGCTAGCACCATGGACTAGAACCTCAGCTTGGCTTTGTAGGGGCCCCCTGAGCTGGTCAGCTACCCCAACCTCTAGGGACCTCAACTGTTGAGCAGCTTCCTGCTCCCACCTGTCTGCCCTCTAGGGTCGCTAAGAGCAGTGAAGTGGACTGTGTGGGGAAAAGAATTCCAAAGCTTGCAAAACAACTCCAAACTTTTTTTTTTAAATCTGGTGATTCCCATCCTCTGTCCCTTCCCTGTACTAGGGGTCACAAGTCCTCACAATGAGGTCATCTGGCCCACACACAGTTCCCCTGCTGAGAAAGCAGTGGGGGACAGAGGGGAAAAGAGACAAGGAGAAAGACCCCCCAACACGCCCTAGAGACCAAGTCTGGGCTTCTTAGAGCACAGGGTAAGGGGGGCCAGGACTTGTCAGAGCACGGGGTGGGGGAGTTGGGGGGGCAGGACTCGTGAGAGTGCAGGGTAGGGGGCAGGACTTGTGAGAGGGCAGGGTAGGGGGCAGGACTTGTGAGAGCGCAGGGTGAGGAGGGCAGGACTTGTGAGAGCGCAGGGTGAGGGGGCCAGGACTCATGAGAGCGCAGGGTGAGGGGGACCAGGGTCTGAAACTCACTCCAGGTGCTGCAGGGATGAGAACGCCGGAAGGATCTTTGCCAGTGTGGGGAAAGCCTGGGGACCCAAGACCGGACCCAACCTAGGAAGCAATGGCAGAGGTCAGACACTGGACCAGCCACAGTGGAGTGCAGGCCGGAAGCAGGCCGGAAGGACAGTCTGAGGCCACTTCCCTGCCTCCCTAGCTTCTTATCCCTCCTGCTGGGCTCCCAGTGCTCCTGCTGAGGACCACTGGGAGGCCTGCTGGGACTCCTCAACTTCACTTCTTGTTCCTGCTGATGTCCACACACACTCACTCACCCTTGCCCTGTGCCTTCTCCCCAGTGCCAGCCAAGGTCTGTTCCCAGTGCCACACCAGGTTGCCTGTCTTTGCATTTTATTTTTTATACTTTTTTTGTGTTTTTGAGACAAGATTTCTCTGTGTGGCCCTGATTGTCTTGGAACTCTTTCTGTAGACCAGGCTGGCCTTGAACTCAGAGATCTGCCTGCTTCTGCCTCCTGAGTGTTGGGATTAAAGGCATGTGCTACCACTGCCCAGCTTGTTTTTGCATTTTTAAATATCTGCCACCCATCCACCCACCTCCGTGTGTATGTTTTCCTATGCATAGGTGTGGAGGTCAGAGGTCAGGGTTAGGGATCTTCTTCAATTTCTTTCTACCTTCCCCACGCCCCCCAGACAGGGTTTCACCAAACCTACAACTCACTGATTCAGTACACTGGGGAGTTCTTCTCTCCCCTGGTGCTAGGATCCATGCTGCCACACCAGGCTTTCCTGTTTGTTCTGGGGACCCAAACTCTGTAAGGCAAGCACCTTATCACTGAGCTCTCTCTCTCTCTCTCTCTTTCTCTCCCAGGCTGGCCATCCTCCTGCCTCAGCTCCCTGAGTACTAAGCTGACAGGCACACTGCCACTTAAGATTTGTTTGTCTAAAGGAACATACTTAGTGAAAAATCAAAAGATTACTGTACATAGTAACTTAAATTCTGGAATGTCCTCCATGTCTAGGACCCAAACTCTGGGACCTCAAGCTTTAGGGAAAGGCTACAGATGAGAGCTGGGCTCAACCTTGTGCTGGGGGCCCCTGTGATCCCTTCACCTTTGGATCTTGGGTCCTTCATACTTAGCCCTGATCACAGGAGGTTGTTGGAAAGAGAACGGCCATCATCACTTCATTCTTCATCCCCCAGTCTCACTGCTTGTCTGCCAGGTACCAGACCAGGGCAAGAAAGCCCTGAGCAACCATAAGGTTCCCCTTGCACAGAGCTGGCATTGAGGGCACACAGATTATCAAAGAACTTAGTTCATGGTCTGGACTGAGAGATACGAAGTGCTGCAGACACACTCCCTGGGTGGAAGTTCAGAAAGTGCCTCAGAACCCTGGAATACACAGTCAGTGGGGCAACGTGTGTCTGCAACCTGAACTTCATCTCTGAGCCTGGCATGACAGAGAGAACCAACTCTTGCAAAGTGTCCTCTGACCGCCACAGCACACCATGGCATGCGTGCACACACACATATCTAAATAAGTAAGCAAACAAACAATGTAATTTTTAAAAAAGAAGATGGGCAGAGGGAAGCGAGGGCCTGGGTGGATCTGCTGTGTAAGGAAGGAGCATTCAGGGCAGAGGTGCAGCCATGACAAAGGCCTGAGGCTGGAGCTCATCTCCTGTCAGGAGATTGAAAGCCAGAAGGAACACAGGGTAGGAAGGGACTGAGGAAGAGGGTGGAGAGGAGATAAGGGAAAAGGGGTGATGAAGCTGGGCCTGTTTATTTGTTGGTTTGTTGGTTTGTTTTGACAAGCTCTCTAGCCTAGGCCTCCAACTTGCTGTGTAAGATGACCTTGAACTCCTGGTTCTCCTGCCTCTGCCCTCAGATGCTGGGACAGCAGGTGAGTGCCACCATGCCGGTAGGTCATGCTGGGGATTGAACCAGGGCTTCATGCATACTAAGAAGCCTGCTGCCAACTGAGCCACATATATCCACCCCCACCTCACATACAGGTGGGGGTTTTCAAGTGGACTGATCAGACAGAGACCTGAAGGGTGAGGAACATGGAGGTGGCTGCACTAGACACCCAAAATAGTCCTTTGTTTCCTTCCTTTCTTCCTCAGAACCATCTTGGGGCTTCCAGCCTGTAGGTGGCTGTTTGTCTGGCTCTAGCCTGTTCCACTCTACGGCCTCCGGTACCCAGAGCGCAGTTCCGACCTCCAGGGAGGGGCTTTTTAAGCTGAAAATAATTCAAAGCCAGAAAGCACCCTGTGGCTGTCTTCAGACATTTCCTCTTTTCAGCAATATTTTTACCTCTGTACAAATTTGGCGTCTTATGTCCTGTTGAAAACAAGAGGGACTTGGTTATCTGTGGGGGTACAGGGGAGCTGGCAGTGAGTGGGTGACCAGCTGGGACTGCAGGCAAATCACTAACATCACCTAGCCTCAGTTTCCAAATCTGTCCACTGACGATCTTCCTGGGCAACTCTTCCCACGAAGGGGACTTTATGTAAGAGGCACCACGGATCTTGTGGGTGGCTCTCTTTGAGACAAGGTTTTCCTATGTAGTCCTGAGTGGCCTTGGACTTGTTATCTTCAGACTTTTAGCTTCCCAAGTGCTGGTGTTACAGGTGTGTGCAATCAGACCTGGCTGGAAGGAGCTCATCTCTGACAGGGCCAAACACTGACAGAGCTTGTTTGTTGGCTAGGCAGGCTAACCTGGTGCTTATAACTGTGAGGAAACCACATCATCTCTCAGGTCTCACTATGCCCATTTGTAAACGAGAGATGACATCAGTAGCCTTTTCCCATTGTCTTAGATAATGGAGTGGAAATGCTTTGCAGTTGAAAAGCCATGTTCAAGCCGGGTGGTGGAACATCCTGCAATCCTGGGTACTTGGCAGGGTTGAGGCAAGGGGAGCAAAAGTTCAAGGCTAGACTGGGCTGAATGTTAAAACCCCTTTTCAGAATAGGAAACACATGGACTGGGAATGTAGCTTAATTAGTAGAGTGCTTGCTTAGCACGCACAAAGCCCTGGGTTCTATTCCTTGTGCTGCATAAGCTTGTGTGGTGGAGCATGCCTATAACCCCAGCATTTGGGAGGTAGAGGCAGGAGGTTAGAAGTTCAGGGTTATACAGCTTGGCTTGGCTATATAGCAAGTTTGAAGTCAGCCTGGAATACACGAAACTCTCTCTAACAAATAAATAAATAAACAAACAAACAAGCAAATAAATGGGTTGGAGATTTAGCTCAGTGGTAGAGTGCTTGCCTAGTATGTACAAAGGCCCCAGGCTCAATCCCCAGCATTGCAGGGAAGAGCTGTCCAGGCAGCCAGACCTAAATATAACTCCTGGGGCTCTTCAGAGCCTATGTTCTGGCCCTGTCATAACCCAGACACCCTAGATTCCCATCATCTGTTCCTCCTACCCCTGGTGGCTGCTCAGGGAGGCGGCTCCAAGGCCTGGCTGCACAGCTGGGGGACCAACTGCCCCATTTGCTGAGAGGAAGTGGTTCCTAAGCATCCAAGACTCTCAGTGCCCAACCAGACCAGACCTGGGCAAAATGGACCCTAGTTCACTGGAGTTACACACCCACAGTTCTCAAGAAGGATCCTTCTAACTGAGGGAAGACCCAGAGAAGCAAGTATGAGGCAGAGCTGGGGTCTGAGCATGCACATGACTGGGAACTCTAGTAAGCCTACTCAACACTCAGGTTTTGCTCATTCCCTACAGGTGGTAAGGACACCTGAGTTCAGAGGGCAGCTGGCCAGGCTATGCATTCTCATGGGGGAGTCCATGTGGCCAGGAGAGTGATCAGCCCAGGCACAGAGGCAGGGTGCAATTCCTAGCTCAGCAGGGAAAGGACCCAAACTGAGGCCCTGGGGACACCCACCCTCTGTGTGAGGTCTTGGTCTGGGGCACACTGGGCTCTTGACTCCATATTGTATTCCTTTAAGACTTCCTCTCTAGCCCCTGTGAGCTCATTCCCAATTTCTCAAGCTTCTGTGATGATGTTACCTCCTCCAGAAAGTCCCCCAGCCTAACTTGTATGGGAACTTGCTGGCACATGCTTATCATGGATGGCAGTCTCTGCTCCTCAAAGAGCTTTTGACAAGTGAATAAGCATGAGCTCCATGTGTGTGCATGCACATGTATGCATGTGTGTGAGTGTATATGTTCAAATGCATGTGTGTCTGAGTGTACATGTGAGTGTGTATATGTGTGGATGTTATGTGTATGAGGCATGTGTATGTGTACAAATGTACGTGAGTGTGTTATATGTATGTGAGTACATGTGTGAGTGTGTGTAAGGCATGTATGTGCAAGTGTATATGTGAGTACATGTGCATGTGAGTGTGTGAGCATGTGAGTGCGTGCATTGTGTGTGTGTGTGTGGGGGGTGCATGTGTGTTGTCCTGCAAATGAGCCAGTTCTCTGCTGTTCTGAGCGTCTCCTGCACTCACCCAGACAGGCCACAACTCAGCAGGTGGAAGGCTGGTTTCTCAGTGGTAAGAGAGGGCAGGAATCATCCAGGCTCTCCCCTCCCTCGCACCATGCCTCTGGCCCAAGATCAGCTAAGATGGCAGAAACAACCTTGGGTCACTGAGACAATCACCCACCCTTCACTTACGCAAACTCTAGCTTCTTAAGGTCCCGGATGGCAGGAAGATCTGGAGCTGCATCCTCCGAGGGGTTTCTCAGCCTACAGAGACAGGGCTTCGGTCAGTACGTGTAGCCCTGCCGGTATGCCCCAGTGCCCACATCCTGCACCCGGCACTGCTTTCCTTTGAGCTGTTGTTGACCCTTCACTGACAAGAACAGCTTTTGGGGGCCTGTAACTCCAGCTCCAAAGGGGGGTTTGATGTGTGAGTGTGTGTGTAAGGCCTCATAGGCACTGCACTCAGACACACATGTATACACATAGTTAAAAATAAAATGCTTTAAAAAGAACAACCTTAGGACCAGGCAGAGTGGCACGAGCCCATTTTACCAGCTATTTGAGAGGATCATAAATTGGAGGCCAGCTTCGACCACACATCCAATTCAAGGCCAGCCTGAACAACCTAGTAAAACCCTGTCTCTAAATAAAAACTAAAAGTGGGGATGGAGCTCAGTTGTAGAGTACTTGCATAGCATGTGTAAGGTCCAGAGAGAGAGAGAGAGAGAGAGAGAGAGAGAGAGAGAGAGAGAGAGACTGACTCAGCAAAACCTCTTCTTTGTCCCCTGTACCTTGGCTCTGTTATGGCTGAAATGGGTCTGGGCTGCCTGAGGGGCTGCGAGGGTCCCTTCAATTAGCAGACACTGAAGGGACCCTGTTACCCCCGGCAGCCGATGTCTCCGTGGCTTTAGCACAGGTTGTCAGGCTTAGGATGGGACGAAGGGCAAATTCAGGGTCCCTGCCCGGGTGGGGCTTCAGCAGAGGGCGTGGGTGGCCTTACCAAGAGTGGGGGCACGGACAGCTCTGTGGACAGAACATACATTGACAGACACAGCCCACCTGCATAGCCTCGAACCACCTCCGACCCCTTCACCTGTGGGTCTGCACGAGGCTGTCCAGGTCTTCCACGTCCTTTGGAGACTTGGCCTTGAATGGCTCAATGGTGAACTTCTCCTCTGCCACCTGGAGTAGCTGGGGCTCTCCCCGCTGCCGAAGGGACTCCCATAGCACCATTGTGTCACTCAAGGGGGCCCTGTGGAGGGAGGGCCTCAGACCCAGGCACAGTGGCCAGGCTAGATCGCAATGAGGTGTGGCTCCACAAAGGGACCTCCCACCTCCTCAGAGCCTTTCCTTTCTTAGCTTGATTTCCACCTTCATGACCTCATCAGCCTTACTGAAAAGGCACACTTTTTCTCTTGCTGCCAGGAAGCTCAGCACTAAATTCTGGCCACACCTGTGGCCAGAAGTCTTCCGGAGATACCCTGAAGTGCTCAAGCAAACTTCAAAATGAGCTTGAACGGGTCAAATGAAAGAATTTAGAGCCCATCCTGAGGTCCAGGGTGTCCTTGCAGGGCTGTAAGCACCACCTGAGCACACCCACACTGGGGCCTGAGCACACCCACACTCTGGGAAGGTTGCTCTGCTGCCTGAATACAAAGAGCAGTGAGAAGGCAGAGACTGGAGGCCGAGGAGCAGAGGGAGGCCGCGTCTTTGGGCATGAGGAGATGGTGGCACACAGTGGTACCTGAAGGACAAAAACAGCCTGAACTCAGGCTAGGCTGAGAGTCTAGATGTGCTCCAGTGACTGGCACACGGTGGGCACTCAAATGTTGGTTGGAAGAACGACACCCTCCCCCCACGGGCTGCGTGGCTGGTGGCAACAGTTACCTTTCTCTGACCCTCAGCAGCATCATCTTAACACTGGAGGGGACTGTCCCACCTGACACTGTGTTCGTGGAATAGGGGTCCCCAGAGCTACAGTCCGTGCCTGCCCCGTGTCCTGCCCACACCTGAAACTGGTGACACAGCTGAGTCCCACGAGGTTCCCCAGTCCAGAGGGTTCGATGCCGGTCTGACGGAGGTCCAGGGAGAAGTCCTGGCTGGCCGTCTCTAGGGCCCTGCCCAGCACATGCACATCTGGGGGCGTGAGCCGGGTGCCCAGGAAGGAGAGGTGCCCAGGGAGCTGGCGTGCCACATGCTCCCAAATCCCAGGGTCCTGTGTCTCATGGGCACAGTGCAGCAGCTCCAGCAGTCGCCCGGCCCGCAGAGTCCCCAGCTTCAGGCGCTTCAGGTACCGGGTAAGAACCTTCCGTTTCCTGTCCACCACTGCAGGCTCCATCAGAGCTCCCAGGCAGTGGGCTCGAGGCTGGAAAACCAATCCAGCCAGAAATCGTGGTACACCCTCCAGCCAGTTGTCATAGGGTCTCTTCTTCCTTGGGGTCAAGGCCAGGTACTGTGGCAGCTCCTTGTCTTTGATTTCATTGCACTGTGCCAGCCACACAGCACCCAGGAAGCACTGTAGCAGAAAACTGGAGAAGCCCAGCTGGGCCTCTGTGGTCCCCAGGACAGATTGCACCAAGCCTTGGGTCACTGCCCAGGTCCTCACCTCCATTGACAGTAACTGGGTCTCTTGCAAGGTGCTTTGGTGTCTGCGGCCCAGCTCCCAGGCCAGCTTGGCCAGTTCAACTAAGGCCCCTGGAGGACTGTCTCTGGCTGCGGGGCCTAGCAAGCCGACATAGAGTCCTGTAAGTGTGCAAGGCAGCTGGGTCTCTGTGCCCTGTTCCAGCAGGACCTTGGAGAGCTGGCACACAGCCCTGCATAGAGCAGGGCTGTGACTATGGGTGAGGAGAAAAGGCTGACCCTCCAGGAGGCCCAGGGCCTTGTCTTGGTCCCCTGCTGTCCCTGAGTTCTCAAAGTAGTGTCTCATGTACATCTGGGCCTGCTCAGTAGAGAAGCTGGGCACCTCAAAGATGGCATCTGCCTTGCTCAGGCTCTGAGCCAGGCGGCCCCGGGGCCGGGCTGTAAGGAGCAGGGTACAGCCGCGCAGCAGCTTCCGCTGGAAAAGCCCAGCTAGCAGCCCCCGGAAGGAGCAGGGCTCTGGGTGCAGAGGTCCACATGGTCCATGTAGGAGGCCGTCTTGGGCCTCTAGCTCCTCAAAAGCATCGAGAATGAGCAGGACACGCTCTGGTTGCCTCACAATGTGACCTAAGACCTCGTCATCCATGACCAGTGGCTGCAGGCTTGGGGGACAGAGCAGATCCTGTAGGTGGTAAGTGTCCCCCGGACGATCCAAGCAGTGACAAGGGACATAGAAGACAAAGTCATATTGTGGCAACTGGCCGTGGGCCCAGGCCTGACTCACCATCCGGGCCCAGTGGCTCTTGCCCTGGCCAGCCTTGCCCAGCACAGCGACCACCTGTGTCTCTCGTGGCCGCCGCCGGCGGTCGCCGACAGCTTGAAGCACCTCAGCCAGGCCACCGGGGGACTAGCTGGCGCTCTGTCCAGTCTGGAGTGGCTAGCTCCCTTTCCTGGCTCTTGTTGCTGCCTCTCTCCAACCTGGCCCGCACCAGCTCCATGGCTACCAGGGGACCGCTCAGGCTCTCAGGCTCCACCTGGTACTTGTCCTTCAGGGAGTTCTGGAACCGCTCCACAGACTCTACAAAAGCCAAGGGTGAGCCAGAGTGTGTTAGCAGAGTGAGGAGTTGGGGAAGGGAGGGTGGCCAGGGCCTCCCTCACCAGTTCTTATATCTACTGCTCACTGTTTCTGGTCACCAGCTCATTCATCCACCCACTCCCACTAATTTTTCTTGTTTATTCATTCCTTTCTGCTTTTTAAATTATTTATTTATGAGATAGGGACTCATATAACTAGACTGCTCTTGAACTCACTAAATAGCTGAGAATGACCTTGAACTTCTGATCTTCCTGCTTCCACCTCCTGAACACTGTGGTCCTGGGGTTGAACCCAGAGCTTGACTCATGCTAACTGAGCAAACAACCAGCTGAGCTACATTCCCAGCCCTTTGTGTAGCTTTTTGATTCAGAACCTTACTTGGTAGCCCAGAATGACCTCAAACTCAACTGTATCTGGCTACCCTGTGGGGGTGTGTGTGTGTGTGTGTGTGTGTGTGTGTGTGTGTGTGTGTGTGTGTTTGTAAGAGGGGGTGTTACTGTGGATGAAACCCAGGGTGTCAAGCTTGCTGGGCTCATGCTCTGCCACTAAACTGCTCCCCAGCCCCTTCCGTTACTCACTTGGCTAGGCCACTCATTCTATGGGGTTTGGAAGGGGAGTTCGTTATTTGTGGATTCATCATGTTAAGTGAGATGAGTCAGGCTCAGAAAGACATATATCATATGTTTCCTTTCCTGTGTGGAGCCTGGAAACACACAGACAGACAGATACATATATATATATCATATATATACATATACATATACATACATATGTATATATATATGATATATATATGTATGAAATTGTCATGATGAAATCCATCATTTTGACAATGAGTATATACTAGTTAAAATTAAAGTTTAAAAAGACTTGAGGGGAGGTTGATGAGATGACTCAGTGGGCAAATGTACTTCCTGCTAAACCTGCACACCTGAGTTCAACCCTTGGCCCCTCATGGTGGAAGGAGAGAACTGACTCCTGCAAGATGTCCTCTAACATGTGTACTATGCACAGACACATGCACACACATATACACACATATGCACACCCACACTGAACAAATAATAAATAAATACAATTTAAGGCCTTTGAAAAGACAGTGCGGCTGGTGAGGTTTTAGCTGTTGGCAGAGTGCTTGCCCTGTGAGTGTGAAGCCCTGGGTTTCAAAGCCAGGAATGTGGTAGTGCATGCCTATAGTCCCAGGGATTGGGAGGTTGAGGCAGGAAGATCAGAAGTTCAAGGTTTTCCTTAGCTGCATAGCAAGTTGGAAAGAAAGGAAGGAAGGAAGGAAGAAAGGAAGGAAGGAAGGAAGGAGGGAGGGAGGGAAGAAAGGAAGGAAGGAAGGAGGGAAGGAAGGAAGGAGGGAGGGAGGGAAGAAAGGAAGGAAGGAAGGAAGGAGGGAAGGAAGGAGGGAAGGCAGGCAGGCAGGCAAAGGCAGTGGGCATGGTGTTGCACACCTATACTCTTAGTGCTCAAGAGGTTGAGACAGTAGGGATGTGAGTTTGAGGCCAGCCTGAGTTATAGAGTCAGTTCAAGGGTGTGAGCTATATAGTAAGACTCTGTCTCAAAACAAATAACATCAACAGCAACAAAAAGAGTTGAGACTTGGGAGCCCATATGCCTGAGTTGAATCCTGGTTCCTCCATTTGTGTGGCCATGAACATCTGTATGCCCTGCCATACTTCAGGCTAGTTCATCTGTGCCCAGAGGTGATACTGGAGCCGGGAAGGCTTTGATGCAAAGCTTAGGGGTGCACTTGAAAGGAACATCCAGTGGCTTAGCTTTCTCTCACTTCTCCTGGCATCCTCCCTTCTACTGCTCCACACTTCCTTCATCCACTCACTCACTCACTCACTCTCCCCTCTTTCATCCTCTCCCTCACAAATGCACAATCAGTTCCCACAGGTGACTCCTAGGAATAGGCACTTACATCCTGTGGACTACTGCTTGAATGGCCAAGCAGATGTTGTAACAGTGGGGAAATCAACTGGGTGACGGATGAATGAATAAATAATGAGTGAATGAGTGAATGAGCTGACAAGGGACTAACTAAGCATTGCACCAATGAAGTGAAATGCTATTTTAACTTTCATATCAGGTCTCCAGGACAGAAGGGCTCAACAGTCGCTCACCTGGCCATTTTGGAAGCTTGATGGAAGACTCAGGATCCTCTTGGCATGGGGAGGGGGATGTCGTATCCTCTGAGGATGGAGAATTAAATGTCAATTAGAGTCTGGCGGGTCCCCATGGGCTCCTGTCAGTATTGGGGGCATCCAGAGAACAGAACCACATGCCTGAGCCTCCAAGGCCAGGTTACAAGAAGGCAGCTCAAGATTTTTGCAAGTTTAGAGTCAATCTAATAGGCACATACTGAGTTGCAGGCCAGCTGAGGCTATAAGGCAAGACCCTGTCTCCAAACAAAGAAAAGCAAAATTAAAAGCATGGGATGCAAGTAAAGCCCGGGCTTCCAGCTTCGGAAGGCCCAGCCATGCCGAATCTGCTTTCACACCCTAAGGATCAACAGGAGGCTTGTGGCTTGTGGCTCCGCTCGGATGGACACACATGTTCCAGCTGTCACCCAACCCTCAGTCACACTCCCTGCTTCACTAGTCCTCACACACCTTCTCTCACACACCCTCCCTCATGACCAGTCACTCATGAGCGTGCCTTGCCCATCTGCTCAGGCAGCTCTGACTGTCTGAGAAACATCCTTCCTCAAGCCCTCCGTCCTGTTCCCAAGGCCTCTTTCGGGGCCCCAGTTCTCACCCATCTCATGTGCACGGGAAGTCAGCGCAGGTTCGGGCATGCTGGGTAGGTCAGCTGCGGACGGTGCAAAGGGGCTGATGGAACCCAGCCTGTCTGGGGACTTGGGGAGGCTGGGGACAGTGGGGCTGCCTGAAGGGACTACTTGATTGACCTGGGGCATCTCACCTACACCAAAGGAAAAGAGGAGTGTAAGAACCATTAGGAACTCATCCAGGAGTGCACTGGGTCACTTCAACCAAACTATAGAGTGTGACCTGAGTTTTCCCAGGGTAGAGGCACTGCATCTGTATTAGAGGCCGACTGCCTAACCAGAACTTCTGTGGCTATGGAGAGCTGGAAGATTGCAGGTCCAGAGCCAAATTGTCTTGGGGTGTCTTTAGCACCCACCCCCATAGACATTAATTCCCGCCTCTGTGTTTGACCTAACATCCTTAAGACTTCAGGTAAAAATCCTTTTGGCAATGTACCAGGAGATGCTATTTCCACCAAATTAAAGGTTGAGAATGCCATCAGGTAGCGTCCGAGGACTCTAGCAGAGGTACCCTACTTTGCTGTAACCTGCCTGAGGTTTCTACCAAGGTATTTGGAAGATGCCCTGATTTACAACTCTCTTTGTTCTGTGACTATTAAAAGTTCATTTGCTGTTGCCATGTTGGGACGTGGTATTTGGAGCATCATGAATCTGTGTTCCTGGTCATGGTCACTCAGATCTGGCTTCAGAATAAATGATCTCTTATTGCTCTTGGGGTGAGAGCTCAGTGAGTTTGGGGAGAGAGGGAACCTCCTAATGAAGGCATCTCAGGATGAAACTGGGGTGGGAACTCTGAGTTACATCCAGTTCCCATCCGTGAAGTGAACACAGTCAGCTCACAGAGTACTCAGGACAGATGTTCCTGTCACTCCAATGGTATGGTCAGAGCTTATCTCCCTACACATTAGAAGTTGCTCCCTTGCTTCTGGGACACCATTGTCTTAAACAGAAGGAGGCTATGGACTGTAGTGGAAGCATCCTCCACCTCATCCTTGAGAGTCCAGACATGCCTTTCCAGGGCTTATTGGAAGCCTCTCAGTATGGTGGGTCAACAGGCACCATTTAACTGATCAGAAAAAAAGGCAGATTAGAGAGAGCTGTGCAAGGGTTCACCCAAGACTGTTCCCATCACACCGAGGAGGGGTAAGGAGATAGTTAACCCTGGAATCTCTTATTGTTTAGCTTAATAATGAGTGTTCCTGATGTCAGAGTTTAAGAATAAAGCTGGGGGTGTTTGTTTGTTTAAGGGCTGGAGAAGTAGCTCCATGGCAAAGAGCATGTACTACTTTTCCTGAAATCCTGAGTTTGGCTCCCAGCATCCATGTCAGGCTGTTCACAACAACCTGTAACTCCAACTCCAGAGAGATCTGTCACCTCTGGCTTCTTCAGGCATTGCAGTTGCGAATTCTCATGTGCGTGTGCACATATGCAATTAAAATAAAATCTTTTTTTTAAAGGAGGAAAGACTAAGGGGAGAGGAAATAGTGACCCACAAAGGCTGCAAGACTGATCACATATGCAGACCACCTCGACTTCTGGGGAAATGGAGACAGAGAAAGGTGTTCTGGGGAGGGAGGATTCATGAATAGGTACTATGTCACAATTCCAAGTGCCTGCAACGGGAGAGAACAGGTCAGGGGTTGGGAGGGAGGGGAGACCCTCAGTTGTGATGTTGGCTTGTACACTCACCATGGTAGATCAGAACACTGGGGAGCCCTGTGCCAGCCCCTGATATTTGCCAGAGTCCCTGTGTCAGAGTGGGAAGGAGCTGGATGTGTCCGATGGGGAGATCCAAACAGTTGAATGAGGACGTAGAGGTGGGCACTGCAGGAGACAGAGGCAGTGAGGAGGGGCCATCTACAGCACCCATCTTTGTACTTCTGTTTAGTAATGTGGGGCGAATGTTCAGCTCTCTCTCAAGGGTTTCTCACTTCTCCAGGAGGAGCAGCTGAGCCTGTCTTGCCCATGGTGGTGTCCCTAGCACCTAGCAGGGTAGCTGACAGAGACAATAAGGGGGACAGGTGAAGGAGGCTGGCAGGAAAATCCCCCCAGCATGAGCCACGCATGCTCTCCATCAGGGTGTGGGTGGGAAGGGACCTTGACGATGACCCGATAGGGGAGGGGGTTCCTGTTTCAGCACTCCCTGTCTGGTGCTAACTCCTCAACCATCTGCCAGAAGAGAGGGGGCACATCTTCTCCAGGTCCTCAACATACCAGATGTCTGAGCAGCTCCCTCCAAGTATGTATGCCTGGGTACTGGCTCTTGATTGGACAGAGCAGGTGGTAGGTAGGGCATGGTGGAGAGGCTTGCTGGCCCCATCAGGAAGCTGCCGGTCAGCATGGGTACAGCAGAGGGCTCAGCTGTGGGGAAGGGGTGAGTTAGAGGCTGGATGGGCACCAGGTGTGGGGCAGGCCTCCTAGGACAGCAAGGATCTCTCTCTTGGCAGTTAGAGAAATGCCTGTCCCCCTCTGGGCCCCAAGTAAATGGGTTGGTCAGCTGCTGATCCATGCCAACCATGCTCAGCCTTTCCCTGTGGTTGGGCTCGGGGGCCTCCCTAGGAACCCCACAGAAAGAATTTCGAACAGATTGGAGAAGACTATAACTGGGCCCATAGCTCCCATCTTCCCCAGCAAGTCACTGAGCCCTTGGGAGTACTAAGCACCTCCCTCGGCCTTCAGGCTCTGTCCAAAGGGCAGGAGCGGCATGTGCTCCCATGAGAGTGAATACAGCACTCTCTACTGAATGGGAGATGGGATGAATCCTGCCTCCCTCATCAGGTTGGGGCTCCCTAAGGACTGAGGCTACCTCTCCATCATCTTGGGGAATCTGCTAGGAGAGAGATTTGTGGGGAGATGAATCTCCCACCACAGTGCAGGCTGAGGAATCGCCATCTCAGTTTGTACCCCACTCACTCTCTCATAGCTGTGTGATCTTGGGCAGGTGACCTCACCTCTCTGAGCTACCTATTTCCTTCCCTCCTTCCCTCCCTCCCTCCCTCCCTCCCTCCCTCCCTCACTCACTCACTCACTCACTCCCTTGGTCTCTCTTTTTGGCTTTCCCTCCCTTCCATCCCTCTGTCCCCTCCTTCTTTCCTCCTTCCTCCATGATGCTAGAATTCAGTCCAGGCCTTGCTCCCAATAGGCACACACTCTACCCGTGAACTACTCCCAACCCCAATCCCCAATGTTCAGTGCCAGTTTGTGCTGCATTTAAGGAGGCTCCTTCAATTTAAGGAGGCTCCTCCAGATGGGGCTCTCTGGCTAGCTCTCACCTAGCTTCCTGTGCTTTGGGTCCATAGAGTGCTCTTCTGGGGAGCCTGCAGAGAGAACCCTGAGATTAGTGGGTTGTGATGTCCCCAACCATGGTGATTTCTTGGTTCCCAACAGGTCATGTGACTTTGCCTGAGGACTTGAGAAACTGTGCCCCACTTCCCCCTACTCCTCAAGGTGCTGGCCTATTCCAGTGCTTGAGCCCAAGTCTCAGCCTCAAGAATCTCGGCAGGTAGGTGAGAGTAGGAGAGAGGCAAAGCCACAGAACCACAGACCAGGTGAGACTAGAGCCCCAAAACCACTGGAGCCAACTGCCCTGGGCTCTGCCCAGGCTGCCCCCATAACCTGCCACAGAGCTTAACACTTCCTCTATGGATGCTACACCCTTGAGTGCACGTGTCCACTTGTAGACAACGGTGGAAAGCAGAGAATGTCTTAACAGATCAACGGCAAAAGTCATGTCCCTCAGCAAGAGGCCCATGGAGCCGACTGTGGGGCAGCCACTCGGGGATCCAGCTTGGGCCAGATGTGAAAGAGCCAGGATGCTGGAGGGCATGTGGCAAAGGGAGTCATAGGCTGCCATTTCCTGGGAAGGCACCAAAAGGAGATGGGTAGATGGGTCACAGAATCTGCCAATGGGTGGAGCAGCTCAAGGCAAATAGATCCCAATATTAACTGTGGAATTCAAGAAGAGGGGAGATATGCTCCCTCACAGAGGGACTCATACCTTAGCTCAGTGTTGAGGGAGGGAGCGAGGCGTGGAGGCGGGTAGGGTGTAGGGAAGAAAAGAAGAGAGGGAGGAAGGGAAGAGGGAGAGAAGGGGCAAGAAGAAAAGCAAGAGGAGGGGCCTGTGGGGTGGCTCAGTGGGCACAGCACTTGTGATGCAAGCCTGGAGACCCGAGTTCAAGCCCCAGAACCACGCAAAGGTGGAAAGAGAGAAGTGAGTCTGGAAAGCTGTCTGACATGGACATGCTCACTGTAGCATGTGCGTGCCCATACACAATAATAAGAAGGAAAAGAGAGAGGAGGAAGAGGAGAAGGGACGGGATGGGGGCATTCTGAGGACAGATCCTGTGTTCTCCAGCAGCAATCTAGAAATGCCCTTCCAGACATGGGAAGGGCAGAGTGAAATAGTGTGTGTGTGTGTTTGTATATATGTTTGTGTGTATATGCATATGAACATATATGTAAGTGTGTGATATGTGTGAATGTGTGGTGGGGGTGGAGCAGGTGAGTAGAATATTTCTGACAAGGCTCAGAGGGAGTGGTGGACACAAACTGCCTTCGGGGAGAGGTGCTAAGGAAGGAATGAGGCTGGAGGCCAATGTTGCCACTGTCCATTCTTAGCATGTTAGAGGTACAGCACACACCAGATTCCCATGCCCACAAGCAAATAAATATACAGGGCCTGAGGATGCAGTTTAATGTAGAGTGATTGCCTGGCATTCAGAAGGCTTGGGTTTCATCCCCACAACACACACACACACACACACACACACACACACACACACACACACACACACACACCCCAACCACACATATATACTGAAGAGGTATCTCAGAACACCATCTGGTCTCTCACAAGACCTGAGTTCAATTCCCAGAACCTATATGATGGCTCACACCCACCTGTAACTCCAGTCTCAGAGGATCTTATGCCCTCTTCTGGCCTCTGTAGGCACCAAACACACATGTGATACACAGACATGCATGCAGGTAAAACATCCATACATGGGCTGGAGAGATGGCTCAGAGGTTAAGAGCACCGACTGCTCTTCCAGAGGTCCTGAGTTCAATTCCCCGCACCCACATGGTGGCTCACAACCATCTGTAATGAGATCTGGCATCCTCTTCTATACACATAATAAATAAATAAATCTTTAAAAAAAACACCCATACACATAAAATACATATACATAAAAAGGAAGAGCTTTCTGGATGAGGTGAGCTAAAAGCTTTGAGGGACCTAATGATGGGAAGAGAGGAAGGTGCTTCAGGAAGAGGGACAATGGGACAGTCTGCATGGGCTGCAGCATGCAGGAAAGTGAGTGTAGCCAAAGTAGTGTGTCTCCATGGGGGGCCACAAGAAGAGGAAGGACGGCCCACACAGGCCTCTCAGAATGGACTCTGTGACAGCTACAGGGTCAGCAAGGCAGGGATGCCCTAATCAGCATGGCAAAGCACGGATGGCCACCAGGTGAGGACAGACTAAGGAAGCAAGAGACAGGGTAGGGGGCTCAGAGAAGTGCAAGTACCTAGCCAAGGTCACACAGCCCATAAACAGTGTATCCAGGATTCCAACCCAGTCCTGGCTGAGGCTATACCCATTGCTTAAAGAGACCTCCCTCAGAGACCCAAAAGGAAGGGGAAGCAGGACTCAGAGGTCACTGAGGAACAGGAATCAAAGCAGCCCACACAGAGGAGGGACATTTGCTCTTGAGATGCAGTGGCAGGGGGTTGTGGTGGGGACGCAGACACCACCACATGGAAGCAACTGGGATCACAGCAGGTTACAGAGGTAAGGAGGGACTAGATCAGAGAAAGGCCAGGCTGGGTCAATGAGGGGATCACTCACGTCTCTTCTGAGGCCTCGGTCCTGCTTCTACAGGGACCTCCACGCTCTCACTGAAGGCTTCCTCTGCTCCAATGTGCTCTACTTTGGAGAAACACCAGAGACCCACATCACAACCACAGAGCCCCCAGTAAAGCCACCATGGTCGCTACAGTGAGGAGGTGTGGCTGTCAGACATGTCTTCAGGTCAGGAAGAAACTGAGGCTGAGCCAAGATTAGCCTCCCCCGACTTACTGAAGAGGTCCTTGCTGAGGCCCTCCAGCTGGGTGTCCTGGAACACGTACTGATCCAGTTCCGCTGCCAGGGGAGGAAGCATACTGTTAGTCAAAAGGTCTCCTGGAAGTCCTACTGTGCGTCAAGTCTCAGGCCATGTACCTAGGAGCTGCAACCTCCTGGGCCTGGTGCACAGTAGGGTCTCTATAAATGTTGCTGAGTATAAATAAGTTGAATGAAAGAACAAACAGACATTGCCTTCCATGTGCTTTTTGTTTTATTAAATAGGTAAAGTACGTGCCCATGAAAACATATCTACCATCATAAAGTAGCTCAAAGCAGAGCTGTAGTGTTGGCATTGGGGTTGAGTTTAAATTCTGTCTTTATTCTCCACTAGCTCCATTTGCTGGATAACCTTGGGCTGGTTACTTAATGTTTCTGGTTCCTGTTTCCTCATCTCAGTGAAGAGAACAAATAACATACTATCCAGAGATGAACACAAATGCTTAGAGGCATGTTTAGAGCATTCAACACAGTAGCCTGTAGGCACCCCATAAATGATGGTGAATTAAATGAAGTGGTACGTGACTTGGAGCTAGTAGGAAGACATTTTCATGGCCTGGAACTCACTATGTATGTGTGTTGTTTGTGTGTGTGTATGTGGTGTACATGTGTTTGTGTGTGTGTGTGTGTGTGTGTGTGTGTGTGTGTGTGTGTGTGTGTGTGAGAGAGAGAGAGAGAGAGAGAGAGAGAGAGAGAGAGAGAGAGAGAGAGAAAGGGAGTGTGTGTGGTGTGCATGTGTGTGCACTCCCATGCTCCAGTGCCATGGAATGTGCGTTGAGATCAGAGGGCAACTAGCAGGAGTCAATTCTCTACTTCTATCACCTGAGTCCTGGGCCTTAAACTCAGGTCATCAGGTTTGGTAGAAAGTGTCATTAACCCACAGAGCTATCTGGCTGTCTCTGAATCTCTTTTTAAAGCTGGACGTGCCTTAGCAACCTGCTCAACCTCAGGCACTTCCTTTTCATGTTTAAGTCAGGACTTGGAAGTGTGGACGTGTTGGCAGTGGATTTCAGAACTGCTTCTTGCCATCTGACTCAGCCTTGAGCAGCTTCTGCTCTCTCGACCTCCATTTCCTCTTCTGTAAGCAGGAGATTTTCACATCATGGACTTCATTGATTGCTCCAAGGTTTCAGTGTGGTCACAAAGTGTAGCAATTAACACACTGCCAGTCTCAGCTGCTGTAAAGCCACACTTGCTGCCTTAGGTGCTGGGGAAGGGTATGTGGCGTGGGCTTTGTGGAAAAGAGGAGCAGAAACCAGAAAAGAATATGGAAATGGAAGTGGTGCATGCCTATGATCCCACGATTGGGAGGCTGAGGCCGGAGGATCACCATGAGTTTGAGACTGGCCTGGGATACATAGTTCCAGGCCAGCCTGGGCTAGATATGACCCTGTCTCAAAAATAGAATAAAACAAATATAATACAAAAAGCAGAAAGAAAAGGAAAGAAAGCAAGAGAGAAATACAGTGAAGGACGTGATTGGCTTGATAGTCATCAGGGAAGGAACCTAACTCCCTTCTTCCTTCCCCCCTGCAGGCCTCCTCTTTCAGCCCTGGCTGCTATCCCTAGCTATGATTTTGGTGGGAGGGATTTTTTGTTGTTTGACATGACTTTCTCCAGCCTCCACCACCTTCTTACCGATGTTGGCATAGGCCTCCGGGGTCTCTTCATCCCCCTCCATGGCCTGCAACAGCTTGCTGAACTGGTCACAGTTGATGGTGTCTGTGTCCGGCTCTAGAAGGGAAAGCCCTAGGATGAAGCCTGGGAGTCTGGGAGGAGGGGTGATGGGGAAGGAGGGCGACAGTCTCCAGTCAATTATCGAGGTCAGCGCAATTGTCAAGGGCGGGGAGCTGTCCGTGGTCCTGACGCTTGCTGACTGTCTCGGCCCCAGAGGGATGGAGGCGCGGAGAGGCCCCAGGGAACAAGGCCCACCTGAGTCGAGCTCGATCTCCTCCTCCCCAGCCAGGTCCATCTGGTCATAGAAGTGGTAAAGATGTAGGGGGTCGGCATCGCTGTTAAGGAGCTCCAGGTAGCTGCCCTCCGGAAGCCCCAGTTCCATGGTGGCACACAGACTATGGCCTGAGTGGAGAGACACACTCAGATATCTCACAGGTGGTAGGAAAAGGCAGAGAATGAACATCCACTTCTGTTGAGGGCTGGGGGACATGAGCAAGGGGCACCAGGCACTGAGACGGAAGTTTGAGCTGTAGCTGTGGGGCCTTAGGCACGTGACTTAACCCTCTCTATGTATCTGTTTTCTGCAGACATGGGGAAGGAAAGTCCTGTGGAACCTTGAAAGGCCAGGGGTGGCCCTGTCAAAGGGAAGCCTCCAGTCAAAGAAAGCTCATTATGTCTGGTGGGGGGCATCAGAGAAGGGGCTCTCCTCTCCCAGTCTGGATCCTCACACCACACTAAACCTGCTTCCACTCACACTCAGATCTCCTCAGGTATGGGGTTAGGATTTCCCAATGCCTCTGGGGCGATGCTCCCCATGTTTTTGCTTGCTTGGGAATTCCTTCACAAGTCTCTCAAATAGACCTTCTCCTCTGCCAGCAGTTCCAAAAGGGATGGGAGGCAGAGATAACCCTGGTCACCCCATTGTGAAGAAAGGCCCTCTTTAGCTGCCCTGCCCTTGCCCAGCTCAAGCCATATGGGGTTGTCCACTCAGCTTCCCACCTGTAATGGCTAATCTTGATTGTCACCTTGACAGAATTCAGAATTACCGAGGAGACAAGCTTGTGACCACACCTATGAGGGAGTTTCTAGACTGCATTGACCGAGGTGGGAAGATCCACCCTAAATGTGGGCAACACCACTCCATGGGCTAGGAGTTCAGAACTGTGCCAAAAGGAGAGTTTGAGCTGAGCACCGGCGTGCACCTCTCTCTGCTTCCTGACTGCAGCTGCAGCGTGAGCAGCTTGCCTCACTCTCCTGTCGCCACGCCTGCCTTACACACCGGACTGCACCCTCACACGGTGAGCCCAAGCCAAGGCTTCCTGAAGCTGTTTCTGCAGAGTAGTTCACCGCAGTGAGACGAGTCACTAACACAGTGCCTGGCCCAAGCCTGCAGCAGCACATGCCACACACGCCAGACTCTCCCTCACCTAGGAGCCCCCAGATATCCTGAGTTCCTGGGGTTGGATGACAAGCTTCACGCATGTCACCCCTCAGGTTTCACTCACATCTTAACTAATTATGTTCCTGTCTCTCAGATGAAGAACCCGATTAGTGTAATGGGTGGCAGGCCACATCCTGTGCTGCCACCAAGGGAGGTGCTGTCACTTGAGAAGAGAACACGTGGGTGACAAAACTATTTCCTCTTCTGAAGAAATGTCTGGGCACACCAGAGGGGGAGCTGCCTTTTGGTGAATGGGCCTTTGGCAAACTGCCCTTCCCTGAGGTTTCCACACCCACCTGAGAGGACACACCGGTGCTTTCCACCACGAGCCCTTTGGGGACATCTCCATCCCCACAGTGGAGGGTTTGGGTTTTGTGGGTTGTTGTTGTTGTTTTATGTGAGGGTTAATGATCATTCTGTGAGATGAAGTGTTCAATGAATTCAAGATTTAAAGGTTCCTAAAGTGTCCACAACGTGACAGCATGAAAGTCAAAGTATAGACAGCTCCAAGTGTGGTGGCAGCTGCTGCTGTGGTTCAGTTAGGAAGATGATGATATTTTTATGTGTATGTGTCTGTGCATGTGAGGGAAGTGCTCATGGAGGTCACAAGGTGTGGCAGCCCCTGGAGCAGGAGTGACAGGTAGTTGTGAGCAGCCTACTGTGGGTGCTGGGAACTGAACTCTGGTCCTCTGGAAGAGCAGCAAGTGCTATTAACACTTGAGACATCTCTCCAGCCCCATATGATTTTTAAAAATGAACAGTACTGTGTTTTTACCACCTTGTAATCTGTCTGGAATTGGGGAGGGGTCCAAGAGCTCATGGAAGAAGATGAGGATTTAGGATTAGGCAGGAGGCCAGTGCCATAGACAGAGGAGGAAATGGCTTTCAGGCTTTGTGCCTCAGAGTGGGCAGGCAGCAGAACATGCCACAAAGGAGGCTGGCAGAAACTGCTAAGAAACTTCTAGTCTCAGTTAAGACTTTCACTTCCTTCAGGGGCTTCGTGTGATCACAAGAGACTGAAGGGGAACTGAGGCATGTAAGTAATATTGAGATACTGGGCTGTGATGTAGCTCAGTGTTAGATCACTTGCCTAGCATGTGAGAGACCTTGGATTCCATCCCCAGGGCACGCACATGCACTTGCACACACACACACACACACACACACCACAAAAAAAAGCGGTGCTGAGGGCTTTAGAGCTTGGAAGGGAGCAGGAGGTCTGGACATTTCCTGTGAAAGCAGGAAGACTGGAAGACCCGTGCGTGAGAAGTTTCACATCAGGAATATCTGGAAACACCGCTATTGTTTGGCTCTAAGTTGGCAGGCTGAAGTATGGCTTCAAAACTGAGCCTTGAATCAGGTCCATGACATTAGTGGTTTTATTTCCTAAGCTAATGAGTGTATTTGAGTGTGTGTGTACACATGTATGTGCGTGTGACCATCACAATGCTTCTATACAGAGCGTATGACCTGCTATTGCCAATAGCCAACAGTTCCCGACTGTTCTCTGCAGCCTAGTGCGTCTCACAGTTACGACTTCTTCAGCTCCTGGTTTGCACCTCTTGCCTTGGAGGCTGTAGAGGTCCTTCTGACTTGGCCTGCTGCAGAAGATGATTTGGGGTCACTGAGACTGGGGCAGTAGGAGTGAGATGCTTGAAGCTGGGAGGCGGCTAGCCTGAGGACCACAACTGTCCCTGAGCTACAGGGGGTGTCACAGGGAACACAAGGCTGCAGCTGTGTGGTGCTGGGATCCCACCCTCAGCTCATTAGGGAAAGGTGATCTGAGATGCAGCTGTGTGGTGCTGGGATCCCACCCTCAGCTCATTAGGGAAAGGTGATCTGAGATGCAGCTGTGTGGTGCTGGGATCCCACCCTCAGCTCATTAGGAAAGGTGATCTGAGATGCAGCTGTGTGGTGCTGGGATCCCACCCTCAGCTCATTAGGGAAAGGTGATCTGAGATGCAAACACTGTCCTCATCCTGTTGCCAAGCTTGTGCTCTCTGTCCCAGAACCCTCAACCATCTTGGCATTTCTGTCCCAGCTCCCTGGCTCCTCTTGGCTCAGAGCTGCCAGCCAGCCTATGACAAGACACAGTAATTAGAAAAGCTGGAAACAGATTTGGCTTTGGTCTCCGGCAGCAACCCATAGGACTTTTCCATGGTGGAGGTGGGGCAGAGGAAGCAAGGGTGGCCCAGCCATGTTCACAACGGTCCAATGGCACAGGACCAATACAAGAGTCATGGGCCCTGAGATCCAAGCCCTGTCTGCTTTGGCAGGCTGTGTGACTCTGGGAAAACCCCTTCCACCTCCAGTTCCCAAGGCTGTCATCTGTTAAATAAGAGGGTTGTAGGAGAAGAGTGCCTTTCAAGTGACATTTTACCAAGGTTCCAGATCCTTTAACAAGTGAGAAAAAGTTGTTGGCTGAAAGGGCATTGAGAAGCCCAGAACCTCTTTTTTCTAAAAGGGGCTTCACAGAATAACCTAAAAAGACAGTTGTAGCTGGATGTGGTCATACAGGTTTGCAACACCAGCTGCTCAAGAAGCTGAGGCAGGAGGATCGTGAGTTTGAGGGCAACCTGGGCTTTATAGTGAGACCTTGTCTCAAACACACAAAACAACAAAACCGAGATCCAGGCCTCCTGCCTCGTTGAAGATTGTGTAATGCTAGCTTTAAGTGGAGCTGGAAGACTGCAGGTTCAAGGCTTGTCTCAGGGTGTATAACAAAAGGTAGAACCAGGGTTGGGGTATATAGAGCAGTCACTCAACATGGGACAACCCCAAGTCCTATCCCCAGGACGATGAGACAAAAACAGAACAACTCCCAACAACTCCTCTGAGTGAAAGGCACCAACCCAGTTTGTGTAGTTCCTACTACACATCACTCCCTAAAAGGCAAAGGGGGGCTGCCAGAGGCTGGGCAGAGCCAGGGAGGACTGAATGGGTGGAGTGGGGCAGTTTACAGGGCGGCAAACCCACTCTGGAAGACACTGCCAGTATAGACATGCATCACATGTGCACATGTGACGAAAAGAGGAAATAAAAGCAAGCGGAAAAGGAAGGAAGGGAGGAAGAGAGGAAAGAAGAAAGAAAATGAAAGAGTGAAGAAAGGGAGAGAAATCAAAGGGAGAGGGAAGAAATGAAAGAAGGGAGGAGAGAAAGGAAAGAAAGGAAGGGAGGGAGGGAGGGAGGGAGACCAGCAACCATTTCACACAACAGCTCAAGTGTGGCTTCCAGACTGCTCTGAAGATCCGTCAGCCTGGGCGGATGCTGGAGTGCCATCCTGATCCACCCCACAGACCAGTCTATTAGTCAGCCAGCGGCTTGTGGTTCCCAACAGGTCTCCCTGGGAATAACCAAGTCATGCCATTTCTCCCAGATGATGTCTTCAGAATTCATGTGCCAGTCACCTAACCTTAGCTTGCTGATACTCAGAGGTAGGGAAATTAATGTTAAATGATGTCACTAGGGTGGAAACCTCATGGTTGGGTTGGCAACTTCCTCAAAAGCGTAAGATTCCTGGGTGGTACACTGGCTCCATCTTGTCACATGACATCTGTCATGCTAAGATGCAGCAAGAAGGTCCCTGACAGGGTCCACAGCCAAGCTCTTGAACTTCCCAGAGTTCAGAATTTAAGCTCAACCTGCTTCCACCCAATCGTGACACTCAGTTACAGCATCGGAACGTGGACAAAGACCCCACCTACATCCAAGCACAGGTCCACACAGGGCACAAAGGTCTCTTTGTCGTCTCCTCACTAATTTGAGACACCTCAGAGAGTCAGCTCCTAGGCTCCCTAGGGGATCGGCTATGACCTACAAGGTGACCTCACTGTAGCCTCGTCCCCTCTATCCAGTTCTGCCCCTGTTCCCCAGTGCACCTCACTCCGAGCCCAGGCAACCTCTGATATGGACATCTCCAGCTCAGTGCCGGGTTCCACGGGAGCCTCACCTCCGATGATTTTTTAAAATACTTTTTTCCAAATATGAACTGGAAATCATACGAAGCCCACAAAAGACACCACTGTGACTACTACAAGCAAGCCTCCTCCACCTGTGGTCCTAGCCACAGATGAAGCAAGGACAGCCTCCTTAGGTACTGGTAAATGCCAGGCATCTGGGGTCCAGGAAAGGAGAAAGTGGACCCACTGGGAGAGGTGCAGTCAGAGACCAGGGGTGCCAGCACACTGTCCATAAAAAGACCTCCTCCCCAGCTCCAGCAGCCCAACAAGTCTCAACGTTCCCATGGCAGTCAGTGACTTGGAAAGAAAAGTCAGCTTATTTTCTTAGAAAGAAACCCAAGCCAGATGCTGAGCAGGGAGACGGAAGGTCTTATAGCTGCAGTTTAGCAAAGTAGGATCCAAAACTCCAGCCCCAAGCCTGATGTGAATTAGGAGTGGCCCTGCTTTCAGGGAGCTGGTGGTGGAGAGCCAAGGATGTCACTGCAGGGCTCTCACAGGCCAGAGCACGGTTAACATGGTGCCTGCAGGTCTTGCCCTCCCCTCCCCTCCCCTCCCCCATGCTAAACCACCAGATCGCATTCCTAAAGCTAGCACCCAGGTCCATTCCCTTATCTGGCCACTTCCTTATGCTTGACTGATTCCTGAGGATGATCACCAAGGTCTAGCTATCAAAATGTCAAGGTCCAGCAACCAAAATTCATTATTTGGCTGCACTGACTAACATGTCCAATCAGGACTTGGGTAATGCAGACTTCCCCCTTTTCTCAAACTGCTCCCGTGAGACACCTGCTGCTGTCTTTGTCTGGAGTGGCATCCTCTCTCCCTTGTTATCCCCTCTGTGCTGAGAATTTGGGGTCTGGTGTGTTCTGTGTAGACTGTGAGGTCCCCGCCTTGGCCTTGAACAGATTTTCAAGGGCGGGAATCACATGAACAGCACCCTGTGCTCCTACCCAGCAGGGTCTGCAGCTGAGCCCGGGAGCTGCACTTTTGGGGGGATGTTGTTAATTTGTTTTAGAAGATAGGGTCAGGCTATGTTCTATGCCAGCTTGGTCTAGAACTCACAGCAATCCTCCTGCCTTAGCTTACAGGCGTGCACTGACATACCTGCACTTGATCTGATGTTTTCTGGTGGTCAGGGGATACTCTTTGGACTCTGATGCCCGACAAGTCTCAAAGCTTCATCTGGAGAGTTTGGGACTGTTCGACTGCCATTTAATATGCGTCTCTCCCTCTGGGGATGTAATTACTATCCCCAGCCTCTCCCCCTTGTGGTGAGATAGAGAATCTAGAGTCGTGTATACCAGACAAGAGCTGTCACTGAGCTACATCCCCAGGCCTTGGTTTATGTGATTGGTTTTATTGTAGGGCAGACATTTTGTTTTTCTTCTGAGATAGGGTGTCCCTGTGTAGCCCAGGCTGGCAAAGAACTCAGTTCTCCTGCCTCAGTTCTCAAGTGCTGGTTGCCAGTGTGCGCTAACTATATCTGGCAGCAATCTACTTTTAAAGCCCAGAATCCCCCATAATGGTCCTCTTCTCACCCTACTCTCTACTGATGCTGAAGAAGAAGTGAAGCTGGGGCCGGAGGAGACGGCCCCGTGTTTAGGAGCACTTGCCCCTCTTGCAGGGGACTTGAGTTTGGACCCCAGCACCCATGGCAGACAGCTCACTGTCTCTGTAACTCCAGCTCCAGAGGATCCAATGCCTCTGGCCTCTGCGGACACCTATACTCATATGCTCATACCCACATGTGTGCGCACACACACACACACACACACACACACACACACACACACACCTACACATAATTTAAAATAATACAAAATAAATATTTTTTTGAAAAAAAAGGGAGGCTTAATTTCCAAGGCCGCATGCCTATCCCTTGCCAAGCAGACTCCACCCCTTAGCTTGCCTGGCTCCTCCCACAGTTCCCTGCGTTCTGCCATATTTCCTATACTTCCCCTCAGCTAGAAACTTCAGAGGCAGGTGTGACACTTCTTCCTCCACAGTGTCATTTTTTCTTTCCTCTAACTCAGAGTCGTTGTTTGACAATATCTAATTTGGTTACCTTAGTATCTTCCTTATACTAACATTTTGAAGAAACATACATGTAGGTTTTATTGTTTGGGATGTTTATGTTTATTATTATTATTGTTATTATTTTGAGATGTGGTCTCATTATTTAACCTTGGCTGGCCTAGAACTCACTATATAGACCAAACTGGCCTTGAACTCTCAGAGATCTGCCTGCCTCTGCCACTCAAGAGCTGGCAATAAAGGCATGTGCCACCACACAAGGTTGTTTGGGGTCTTTATTTGTGTGTTTGAGAAAGGGTCTCACTGTATCTTTCAGCCACCTATGTGCTGGGTTACAGATGTGTCACTATGTCTGGGTCAAATATACTTACTTTAAAAGAGAGCTACTTGGGTGGTAGAGATGACTCAGCAGGTACAGGGGATCCCCAGGAGCCACACACTGGAAGGAGAGAATTGACTTCCACAGGATGTCCTCTGACCTGCACAGTCATG